CTCGTCACTCATGTCACTCATGTCACTCACGTCACTCACGTCACTCACGTCACTCTCGTCACTCATGTCACTCACGTCACTCACGTCACTCTCGTCACTCACGTTACTCACATCAACTAGTCTGGGATCAACTAGTGGAGGTCAACTAGTGGAGGTCAGAGAAGTAGCGTGTGGCATACATGCACTAGTGAGGTCACTAGTGACACACTAGTAGAGCACTAGCAAGGAATGCACTTCAGATTAAGTCACTAGTGGCAACAACAGAAGTGCCGGCACCCTGCACCACTAGTGGCCACCAATAGAAACATGCGCTACTAGTGGCCACTATGAGGTCATACACCACTAGTGGCCACCAGGGAACGCTACTAGGGATCTACTAGTGGCGACCAAGATACGCTACTAATCAGCTACTAGTGGCCACCAGGAGACCGGAGGACTAAAAGTGGCCACCAGGGTACGCTACTAGTTAGCTACTAGTGGCCACTAGTGGCGGCCAGTGGACATACAAGGTCCAGTGACCAGAGGCCGTCCCTGAGCTGGCGGTCCAGGGGGGCGGTGACAGAGAGACACAGTCAGACAAGGTGCTGGTGACACTAGTGGTAGTGACACTAGTGGTAGTGACACTAGTGGTAGTGACACTAGTGGTAGTGACACTAGTGGTAGCGCAAAATGGTGTGCCGAATGCTCTCATAGGGGATGGTTGTGTGGAGCCGCCGCCCATGAATGTCACGTATCTCCACTGAATATACGGTTAATTCGCCCAGCTGTTCTGCGGACCGTTATGTTGTTAAATTAGTCAATGGATTTCATGAGGTGAAAAGTGTTTCTTGATGAAATAGCGCTGAGATACGTTTCCTATGCCTCCAATAGAGAAATATATTTAGAATTCTAAAAATGCGATTAAGTCAGTGCTAATATTTGACGGCCGATTCTAACATTTTCATATGAGGTAGAAAACTTAATCAAAGCAGTTTCGGACGAGGAAATCCGACGTGCGATATAAATATATTAATATTGAAATAAGTTATAAATATATTTATATTTAATCAGGGAAGAAGATAAATTTCTAATAAACGCGTTTTTAAATGGTTTGTGAACGTTTATATGCTATCAAATACTCGTGGTTTCGTGTTTCAACTCACTGCTGTTCTTTTGTCAATAGTAATGTTAACGAGCGACGTCTATACCATTCATTCACACAAGAAGTTGCTCATAAAATCAAGAATATATTCTTTATTTATTCTAGGACGCTCATATGAATACCACGTGCAACACAAAGCAAAAACTGCGACGCTATGTAACTGCCGTCTTCGTAGCTGAGTGGACTAAGGTGCCTGCTCGCGAGCGTCCGATTGCAGTCTTGGCAGAGGTTCGAATCTCGGCGGTGAATCATAGTTTCTTCAACCAGAGTTAAACAGAGGTGAGAGCAAAGAAAGTAGGTTCATGATGCCTATACATACCAATATAAATTGTGTGACCAGGGAGGGTGGAGCACACTTAGCCATCATATTAATTTAATACCTAAGCCGACTCATGGTGTGATGACACACACACTTACTGACTCATCACATCAGCGTGTACTCACAATGCTTCTCATCACTCCAGTCCCCGCAGTTGTTGTGCCATCTGTCGCATTCATGACGCTTGTGGATGCATCTGCCGTCGCCACACACGAAATGGTCGCCGGTGCAGCCTGCGATAAATCAAGGAAGTCTTGAAAGCCCCAGAAGAGGTTTAATTCGATAACTCGACTTAGTCATAGCATGCATGGGAAACAATGAAAATAATTCGATAGCGAAACGTTATAATTTAATGTAATCCAGGGATACTTATATTTGTTAATTTTGTTATTCGTGAAAAAAATTGAATGTTAAGAGCAGAAACAGATCATCATATTAACTCGAAATAAAAGACAGTATAATTGCGCGGAAGCGTTTGACTCATCAGGCAACTCACAGTCGCGCTCGTCGCTGTCGTCGTCGTCGCCACACTGGTTGTATCCGTTGCACCGACCCTGGATTATGCAGTTGCCGGTGTTGTAGCACTTGAAACTGTCAGAGCTGCACGGGCCTGCAATCACAAGTAATGCGGTAGGTTATGTTAAGGCCATAATTGAGAAAGTGTGAACACGGAAGATAAATCTTTGGAGATCACGAAGTAATCTTTTATTATACCCTGTGTATTATACTTGTGACATGTAGTTTATGCTGTGTAATAAATCTTTTTTGCCATATACTGATTATTCCGGATGTCGATCTCAAGTATGTTCTATATACAGGGTTTACAAAATAATTTAGAAATGGCCTTGGATTTGCAATACCTGGTGAAAAATTGAGGCTCATTCTATTATTTCAACGGATTTTACTGCACTTCCGTAAGCGAAATTTTCGCACCTGATGGTTATCGAAATAAGGTGGAAGATTTGGGGAGAAGCGAGTGGTTCATTAGCCGGGCTGGAGCTGAGCTTACCACAGAGTGAGCGTTTAGTTATAAAAAGATTTAATTGAAGGAGGGATTACCAAGAGAATATGGCGCCTCTCTAGTGTGTCAGACAAATATTTTAGGCGATAACTGATGACAATTGTTCTAAGCAATTACTGATGAAAATTTTTCTAAGCGATAACTGATGTCAATTATTCTGAGCGATAACTGATGACAATTGCTCAAATCACAAGTAATGCGGTAAAGAATTTTCATATCCTGATTTAAAAATGCTAATGTGAGTATTCAATTTTTTGTGGTCACGATGTGATTGCTCTTTTTCAATTCAATTTTTGTGTATTCAATGATATTATAACTTTAAATAATTTTCTCAATAGAATTTATTTATATCCAAGAAAGGATGAAGACTTTGGGGCGTCTGTTTCGGTTATTAGCGTTGGTGTTTGGGCTATTAGACGGGCTGCATATTAGCTTATCCCGGAATGAGTAACTTGAATAAGATTTTATTTAATGAGGAGGGAAGTGATTACGAAGGGAATGTATGTGCAGTCATGTATGGGATTGCAGAAAATAATAATGCTGTTATGAAGGTATAACAAGTTATGCCGAGAAAGCAAAGGTCAGAGCAATGTACTGCCAGTTATTTTAATTCAATTCATATTAACCACAAGGAACCGCACCTAGAGACTCACCCTGACGTGCGCATGCAGAAGCTGTGGTTGCCGCGGCTGCCAGGAGCAGCAGCAGCCTGCAGCAGCTGCTCGTGCCCTGCAGAGCTACAAGAGCTGTGAGTGACGTCGCCTGATAAGCACTGGTGTTTGCTAACATTCTTGCTATCACAACTGCGAGCATAAAATTAACCTTTAACAATGATTAACCTGATGCCAGTTGACTTCATGGCTGCAGGACATCGACGGGGGCGCCCATTGAACGCTTGCATTGTTGTGCTCATAAGTAAATATCAGTGCAGAATGTAGGTAATCAGTGCAGGTAATAATCCCTAACCCGAATTATTCCTAACAGAATAATTATAGTATTAATGTCACTTATTTGCTTTAATCGCAAGTTGACTAAAAATTTAAAAGCAAAGAATATTCCACAAAAATTCATATCTTTATAGAAAACGTTTCGGAGTCCAGCTCCATCGTCAGTTCGTAGAATCTAGAATATACATAGATTGTAAATTTAGGTTCTAATTGTGTTCTGTGCTTTCAATTGTATTAACTTGTGACTTTCTATGTATATTCTAGATTCTACGAACTGACGATGGAGCTGGACTCCGAAACGTTTTCTATAAAGATATGAATTTTTGTGGAATATTCTTTGCTTTCAAATTTTTAGTCAGAATAATTATATTTCGTAAATATCACAACTCGAATTTAAATGTCACTAAATAACTGACTATTCACAGAACGTTCACCAAAAGTCAGGTGCAAAGTTCTTCACGACCGACAGAATGAAAGTATTACGAGTATCGGATCATCAGGTGAACAGGCTCATTCTCTAAATGAATATGCATGTAATAGGCAAAAAATCAATGAAGAATAATGAGTACGAATCTAACAAAGTGATAAGTAAAATCGCGGTACAAAAAATTAGTGATGCTTGAGGAGCAGTTATATTGCATCACTTGTGCAGCTCGTTTATACTGAAGCAGATAAGCAATAAGTTACACGACACGAAGGAAGCTTAATAAAACTGAGACTTTAATAAAAACATTTAAATCAACCACAAAAAGATTTAAGTGAGGTGCCTTGACTAATCATTTGAGGTTATGATTACGCTCTATTGCGCTAAGACATTTATTCTTCTTCGGGAAGTTCTATTTCGTGGCGCTGCCTGACAGCTTTGCGACAATCCCATCCGCCCGTTGAGGTACATCGCTGCCGTGCATGGCTCATGTGATATAAAAGCAAAGCCACATGATTTGACCCATCACCACATGAGCCCTCGGTAGCTTTCATAAAAGTATCAGCCCACTCGGCTGCCTGTGATTTTGGACCATGCGCATTTTTTGAACCAAAGAGAGAGTACAAAAACATTTTTGCGAATATCAAGGAGATATTCTGATCTATTTGTGGTATTTTAATTCAGAACAGGAAGCTCTCGTGTTTGTTGCTCGCTAGAATTCGTATAACTAGAAAATAGCGATAAAATTCCGGACTTAGAAAAAGATGCGAGCAGAAGAAGTGAGGAAATTCAAGAATCTCTAACCCAAAAACCCCGATATAGCAGTTTGCTGGGCTGTATAATGCAGCGTTGTACAGGAGTAAGCTGGGCTGTATAATTCAGGGCTGTACAGCAGTTAGCTGATCTGTGTAATGCAGGGCTGTACAGCAGTTAGCTGGGCTGTGTAATGCAGGGCTGTACAGCAGTTAGCTG